GCATGCATATGTGTGCGCCAGGTGTGTGCCTCATGCACAGGGGGGCTAGAAAAGAGTGTCAGATCCTCTGGAACTGGAGTTACAGACAGCTGTGAGCCACTACATGCTGGGAATTGAACCTGGGTCCTCTAGAAGAGCACCCAGTGCTCATAACCACTGACCCATCTCTCCAGCCCCTAAGATTAGCTTTCTGATGTACAGTTGGTCATATCTTTTCTGGGTGCTCTCTAGGATTCTGAATAATGCATATAGCTAAGAATAAGGGGAATTGTATGTGGTAAAATCTCTGGACATCAGTCCTCAGATGCATGTAGGGTTGACAGGATTCGTGACAAGCTCCAGCTGGCTTCTGCTTAAGTTTTATGTGACCATTGCCATGAAGGAATGTGGACCAGACTCAGCTGAAGCAATTTCTCATACATATACAAATACACACACACACACACACACACACACACACACACACACACACACACACACACACTGGCCTTGTTCTCCCTGACTGGCTACAGAATTGAAAATATGCCTTGCTCAGTATCATTTTGGCCCTGATAAAGATCTTTATTGAAAGTCAGCTCATGTACTCTAGCTGTTTAATCACCATTTCCAGAACCCCTAAATATGTAGTAATAACAAAAAATAAAACCAAGAGTCATTATGAACTTCCAAGTTTGAAGTCTAAATGATTCAGCGCCATTAACTCCAATTTACATTCCTATGAGTTTGGATTTACAAGAGGCTCTGTCCTCCAGCAATGGCCTATGAAATCCTGCCTCCCACAGACTGTCTAGCTGAGGTCCTCTGCTTAGTTCTGACTGCATTCCCTGGATCACATCCTCATTCATTAGGTGGTTCATTCACACCTACTTATTATGGTCTAGGCTTAGTCATTGTGGTGCATGCGTGCGTGCGTGCGTGCGTGCGTGCGTGCGTGCGTACGTGTGTGTGTGTGTGTGTGTGTGTGTGTGTGTGTGTGTGTGTTCTATTAGACTGGCAGTCCAGCAAGCCCCAGGATCAGCATGCTTCACTCCACCTGTTTTGTTTTGTTTTGTTTGGTGTGGGAATTAGGGAATCCAACTCAGGTTCCTATTCTCACATGACAGCCCTTATTTCCTTGGCCCAGCCGTGGATGTTTTTATTAGAAGTCCAGCCTCATTTGATAATCTAAAGGACAAATAAGAGTGATGGAGACCCTTTGCTGGTCAGTTTTAAAAGACCCTTCCATCTTTCCAGTTTATAGTCATCAGACACCTCATTTGCAGATGTTCTCAGTGCTAAATACACTAAGGATTTGTTGCCCTTGCGGCATGCACAGTTCTAGAAAGACATGGGAATGGTTCCAAAATAGTGTGACAAGTACCCAAGCCCAGTTCTCTCACAAATGAAGGGACACCAATATTGGCCATCAGAGGCTGGATCCCAGTGGAGGAGGGCTCCGCCAAGAAACCCAACTTCTGCATTTCTTTTGGGTACACATTGTTGCTCCTCTATAGACCGTCAGAGACAAAGCAACAGTTGTGCAGGACTGGGGAGCGCCAGTGTCTGCACTTCAAATTAGCTGACCACAGGAGACTTCTATCAGAATGACTGACTATCTGAGGACAAATGCCACCTTTATTGCTCTCTCCCTTGTTCTTCTTATACAACTCATTAATTTTCTCAGTTTGCCTTAATCAAAGGACCCTGAAGTCTTAAGCTTGCAGAACATATTACCCAATAATAAAAGATTCCGATGAAACCTTGGAATTGAAAGTTCAGAGGGAAGATTCCATAGGAAGTTATGTGACTTCTACAAGGCTGAGTCACTGCACAGACCTTGCCCGTGAGCCATGGAATGATTCCTCTTCCTATCTTCCCATAGCCAAAACTTTCCAAACCTTCTAAGTACATTTCCATTGTGATGGAGACTTAGCTATGAAAGAGAAATAGTCTAGCTCTGATTCTCTTGGGAGAGTAGTAAGGGCAGTGATGTACCCTTAATCATAGCTGTTGTATGGCCAGTACAGATGCTAACAATATGGCCTAAATGCTAACAATAGCCAGGCCCAACAAAGTTCACTTTTTATGTTGCGACCACCATGCCTCTAAGGAACTAAAATGTGACAAGAGATATGTTCAGGGATTCTCAGAATTACATCTGGGGGTCTAGACGACATCTCCATTAAGCTGGGGTTTTCAGAGAATGGGTAGTTATACGTTCTGTTGGTTCTTTAACAGAAGGTCTGGGTTGTGCACCTGGCCTCAGCTTCAGTACTTTGGGATAAAGTAATTTGGTAAAGGCCTCAATAGTCACAATATTCAAAGACACTCACAATATTGAAGAACAGGAGCACTGGGGAAAGGAGGTGAGAAACTTTTTATGAGACTTTTCTTTTCTTTAAAAATGGTAGTAGCATTTCCTATGACAAATTATTTCCTAAAGTGCTATGGATGCTCTTAGACACCATTCACTCTCAGGTGCACATGGACATCTGGTTGTGAAGCACCATGGGGTTCTCAGTGAAGCCAAGAGATAGACCCTGCGGATTAACCGACTGATGCAGAACACACTCCTGCCTCAAATGCTTGAGAGCTACTGATTGCAGAATTGCCAGCTCTGTCTTCTTAGTTTGTAGGTGAGGAGGCCAAGGGGCCCAGTGAGCACAACCTTTTAGCATCAGACAGGATTCCTGTTCTCTCTTCCGGGCTTCCTCTATTACTTGCTGACTCCACATTTAGCCAGGAAACATGTTCAGTTCAACAAACAATCAGCCCCCATGCTGAGTGCCACAAGAAATAGTGATGATTTAAAAAGTCATACCATTTTATGATCTAATTGCTGAGAGCTTCAGAACTAAGGCTATGAGTCCAGATAAAAATAACAATGCATTTAAACTATTTGGGTCAAAACGTATGAGACAATGCTAAGTAAGAAAAAAAGAATACAGCAGTACGTTATCATCTGTTTAAAAAGTACTTATAAAACTGAGGCATTTAGCAATCCATTAAAGATCCAAGTTTTATGGGGCTGAGACGTAGCTCAGAAGGTAAAAGCACATGCCACCAGGCCTGATAACCTGAGACCCATCTCTAGGACCTACATGACTTCTACAAACTGTCCTCTGACCTCCATCAATACCCCTTAGCAGTAATGTAACACACACACACACACACACACACACACACACACACACACAACACACACATACATGACAATAAATAAGTGAATAAATGTAATAAAAGAGCCAAGTGTTATGGGCTGCCATGGTATCACCCAACAGATAAAAAAGCATTTGTCACCAAGCCTGAAGACCTGAATTCAAACTCCCAGACCCACATAGTGGAATGAGACAAATGACCCCCCCACACACACACACAAGTTGTCTTTTGACCTCCACTCATGTGCTATGGCAGAAACAACTTACCCCTTATACAATACATAAACAAGTAAATGTAGTATGAAGAACCAACTGTTACACAATAGGCTAGACCTGTGAACTTATTAGGTTTTCTGACTGCTGTGAGGGTCAGAACAGACTGAAGTAGTTTGTTGTTGTTTGTTTGTTTCCTTTTCCTTTTCTTTCTTTTTCTTTGCTGTGTGTATGGGGGAGCAGTGTGTGCACACACCCTGAGGATGAAACCTTGAGTCTTGGGCATTGTACATAAACGCCCCATACACTGAACTCTCGCCCCAGGCCTGCTTCCCAGTAAAAGCTGAAAAAAAAACGAAGCTCTTTTCCTCATACAATCTCCACCCCTAAGGAGTGCCCATCCTGAGGAGAGAATAAAAGAAGAGCAGACAGAAAGAATATGCTGAAAATTCTGCTGAGACCGGAGGTTGATGGTGGTGGTAAAAACCAGGCCTAAGTAGAAGCCACAGAAGGGAACTCCGGGAGGCTGCGCAGGATGCTCCCTGGGCGTCCCAGCATCCCAGCCTAGGCTCTACACCTCTGCCCTTGGGGTTAGGCAGAGAGACTCTTGAGTTGGAGGCAACCTTTGCTCCCTTGGCGCCGGTACTGACTGAGTTGGTTGAGGAAAGCAAAGTCCGGGTAGGAACTGGCTAGGGATAGACAAGAATTTGTTTTCGTGGATTGCTGGATACCAATAGGAAGACAAAGGTAGTTCACACCTCTCTTCCACGTTAGTATCATCTTCAGATGATGATAATTTGTGTGCGTGTGTGTGTGTGTGTGTGTGTGTGTGTGTGTGTGTGTGGTGTGTGTGTGTGTTTTGGATTATGTCTTGTGTAGCCAGGCTGGCCTTAAACTCTCTGTGAAACTAAGAAGGCTGGCCTTGAACTGCTGATCTCTCTGTCTCTACTCCCCACGTGCTAGTATCACAGGCCTGCACGATCACGCTGACGGCTCCTCCTCCTCCTCTGGTTTTTGTTGCTTTGTTTTTTTTTAAAAACATGAGTTAAAATATGCCCCGGGTGCCTACATCTTTTGTGAACCCACTTAGAGGTTTTTCTAGTGTTTAACCATCAGTGTGCAGCCGGGATGCAGGGGTGAGTATGCAGGATCCGCCCACCCATCCCTCCAAGCGGCGTCATCGCCCCCCCTTCCCCTCCCATCTCCAGGCACCCACCCAGCACAGCAGCACCACTCTGGCTGGCTGGTCCCGGGCCCTGCGAGCTCCGCGGAGCTGAGCAGCCCCTGCGCTCAGCTGCCCACTAGGATCCTGGCAGGGCACATTCCCTAACCAGTGCCTGCATCCCCCGCCCGGATCCTTGCTGGGCTGCGCTTTGGGACCGGAGAATACAGTAAGCTTCACTCACAGGTAAGGATGAACTCCTGAGACAGGAGGACACTCTAGAGCCTGTCCTGCTCCCGAACAAGGCGGGACCCACAGGAGGAGCATAGGGGCACTCGCTGCAGAAGGGATCAGGCTTAGGCTGTCTTCTAGGGATCAGCCACCCTTCCTTTCTGAGTGAGTGCTGGCCACTGCAAGGTTAATATCAGAGGAGCGATGTTTGCATTGGAATTGGAATACAAATGGAATGCTTTCTGCTTAAGCAGTACCAGAGGGGGCCCTCTTTATTTTTGTGATTATTAACAGATGTCACTGGAAAAGGTGTAAAAACCTTTCCTGGAAAGAAATTTGTCTCTTTGCAAAGTTATGTCAAAGCTAGTGTCTCTCTGCCTCTGTCTGCCTCACTCTTTTCCCCTCTCTCCCCTCCCCTCTGCCTGGGTAGCAAAAGGGACAGTGGAAGACCCTTGGAACAAGGAGGTGAAATGAAGTGGAAATCGGGGGCTTGCTTTAAAGAACCAGGCCCTCCTGTCAGGGGTGAGTGGATTTAAAAAGTGGCCAAGTATTGAGAATTACCAAAGCTGAGTGATGGGCACATGGAAACTAAGTTTTTCTTTTGACTCTCTCTCTCTCTTTTGTGTGTGTGTGTGTGTGTGTGTGTGTGTGTGTGTGTGTGTGTGTGTGTGATCTTGAGATTTTCTATAATAACAGAGTTCTGGGAAAGCTGCAGCAACTCCTCAGTCTGGTTGATTGGACTCTCTCACACTGTCTTCAATTTGGAAAGTCGTGGCTTGGGGCTGGGGAGATGGTTCACCATGTAAAGGGCTTGGCACACTAGCGTGGGGACCTGAGCTCGGATGCCCAGAACCCACATAAAGCCAGAGTAGGTGGTATACATCTGTAATTCCAGTGCCTTACAGGAGATGGGAGGAGAAGACAGGAGATGCCATGAAACCTTATAGTGGGCTAGCCTGGCATATGGCCACACTCAAGGTTGTCTGGGCATGCCTCCACCTCCACTCACTCACTCACTCACTCACTCACTCACTCACTCACTCACTCAAGCGAACCAAACACACACACAGAAAGATGTTGTCTGGTACATCAGGTCCCTTTCTCTCTGCCTTATTAACTTTTCTGGCTTCTGAAATATCCCCCCCCCCCTTATGCCCAAGTCCATTTGTGTCTACAGAGGATTATAAAAGTCATAACTTGCTGACTGGAGAATTGTGTTTAAGATCTGGTTTATGATTTAGAAAAGAGAATGTTAAAACCCCAGCCAAGTAAGAGAGCTGGGCTAGAGGGTGCCAATCAAACCATGTGTGGAATTTCATTTTAGAGATGATTCTTCCTTGTGAGACGGCGCATGTAGATTCCCTCGCCACTTTTCTTGCAGCTGTTTTATAATGTGAGACTGCTCAGAACCCGCTTGGCTCAGTCCTTGTAAAGTTGCTAGTGTGGGTTAACTTTCTCGACTGAATAGATCGCTTCTCTTTCTGTGCCCAATACTCCAATAGTCAACAGATGCATTGCTTTTTAACAGTGGGACCAGATGTGGGGATTCAGAAGCTAAAGCTACTTCACCTTAGATGTTACCAACGAGAACTCTGAGGTGGGGACATTAGGAAAGACCAACATCAAGTTAGCAGTTCATAAATCATTATTTTATGATTTAAAAAATTTTAAAAATTAGAAATTTCCTACAGGTAAAACTGATATGTGATTAGCAAAATACACTGTGACTATCAAATATAACATATTTATTAACTATTCTTTACTGAAAGTCCAAATTAAAAAATAGAGAGATTTTATACACCAGCAAATGCAAGAGCTAGCAGAGAGAGATGTTCCCTTGGGGTTACCTTAGTACCAGTCACCCCAAATTTGATTTACACACAGCAATCCATTTTATAAATTGAGATGTACATATCCTGGAAAAAAAAAAGCAGAAAAGAAAGAAAAAGAAAAAGAAGGGAGGTTTTGGGTTTTATTGTGATGAGAAACAGAAGTTGTGGGTTACTGTAAAATAATCAACAGTGTAACTTTACCATCCTCCTTTCCCTCAAGGACTGCCAAACTTTTGTAGCAGACATTGCTCTGTCTCCATTCCTGAAGCTGAACTTGAAAATAGTGCTATGGTATGTGGTATTTTGAATAGCAATTGGCACATTGTCAATGAACTCTCCAACCGTTTATTCTCAGCGCAGAATTGGTGGAGAGCTTATCCTTAGTAATGGGCTATAAAGTATTTGATAAACATATGGAAATATTTGGCAGGTTCATGGCTTTCTTTCGTGTTGAAATGAATCACAGCACATTTGGTGGACGGTTCAGCAGTGCTGTAGGCCATGGTGGGAGCGTGCTGGCGCAATAGCTGTTTTTGGAAAAACACCTGCCAGAAATTCGTCTGGCTGTGGTGAGCGTGATCAGAACTCAGTTCATCAGGATGAACTCTGGAACCCGGAGATGGGTTTGCTAAGTGTGATAGATTCCGTATGTGACAACTACTTAGTATATTGTGAACCGGTAATGCCTCCCCCGTTTCCCATGCTTAAAGGCCAAGTCGGGGATGCACAGCTGAATGATGGAAGAGTAAACGCCACCCCGGGGTTTGCTCTTGGTGGACTAGCTTTGCCATCTAGTGGTGGGAACGTAGATAGCCAGCAAGGTCCTGCTCCCAAGGACTAGCGATGGAGTCTTCGAAGGATCATTGATCAGTCAACCACTTACACACTCTTGATCTTGATTTACTTGTGAGGAAGACTAGATCTTAGGAACTCAGAGTTCACTCAATAGTCAAGAAGAACTTCCAGAGAGATTATGTACGGTGAAAAAAAAGCCTTTAAAATGATGCCCAGCATGGTTGACACTGAATTTGCTGAAAAGAAAAAGTATCTGTAGGGCTCAGAGTCTTGTCTCTAGCAATAGTGGTTATGACTATAAAAATTATGATATTCTGTTTTCATTTTCTCTAAAATATAATGTCTGTTTTTTTCATCATTTTTATAATTGATGTTTAGGGCCCATGAAATGGATCCCTCAACTTCATACTGCTTCCCACTACTCTTCAAACACCCAGGGAAGACAATTTTCGAAACTGTATTCTCATCTCCATCCATGGATTAAGTTCTTATTTCTTTAGTGTGGTGGGAGTGTATTTATGTGTGCTTGTGTACATGTGTACTAGTGCAAGTGCCTATGTATGCATGTGGAGATCAGAGGCCAGTCTTGGGTGCTGTTCCTCAGACACTGTCTAAATTTATGTTTATTTATTGTGTATGCGCGCTCGTGTGTGCGCGCGCGCGCGTGTGCACGCGCATGTGTGGCATATGATGTGTTCATGTGCCTGCAGAGGCCAGAAGAGGATGTCAGATCCCTTGGAGCTGGAGTTACAGGCAGTGTGAGCTGCAGACTGAAACCTGGTCTTTTGCAAGAGCAGTGAGCACTCTTAACCACTGAGCCATCACTCCGATGATTTTTCTGTTGGATTTTTCTCTTTTTCTTTACTTTTTTTGAAATTGGGTCTCACTCAAGCTCTGGCTGGCCTGGGACTCTCAGAGATCCACCTGCACCCGCCTATCGAGTGCTGAGATTAAAGGCGGGTGTCACTACGCCCAGCCCGGAAGCTGTCTACCTAGTTGTCTGAGTGGGATCTCTCACCAGGATCAAGACAAGGCTGGGAGCCAATGAGTTCCAGCAACCCCTCGTCTCCACTTCCCCAGCACTCAGATCACACAGGCATGTGCCCATACTAACCTTTTTAGAGCAGGTGCTAGGGACCAAACAGCCCCTGACGCTTGCATGGCAGGGACTTTAGTGAGAGCTATCTCCCAACGCCTCTCACTTCCCATTTCTGTTCTAGTAAACTACCCAAACCTTACAGAGTTAAAAATCACACAGAATTATTGATCTTATATACTTGGAGCTCAGAGGTCTGTTAGGAGGACTGTGTTCCTGTTAAGCTCCACTGCTTGCTTACTCTTGGCATCTGCTAGAGACCCCCCACATCCTCATCCTGAGGGGCCAGACCTTACCTCACCTCCATCTCCGCTTGCAACTCCACAGCTCTGTCCTGCCTCCCCTTTATAAGGCCTCGGGGTTGCAGTGGATTCATCTGATCTGACATCATGGCTGATCCCCTCATCCGAAAACCTTTAGCTTAATCACATTGGCACCATCCCCATTACCATGTGGGGAGTACAGCCACAGGTCCTCAGGACGAGGATGAGGGTCACTCTCGAGACCAGTGCTTGCATCCCACAGGGAGCACGCTGTAGTGAGAGGTATAGGAAATGCCTTAAATACCTACTGAAGTTTTCCTTTTGATTTTGTAGAAGATGTGGTGTCTCTGTGGCCCGGGCTGGTCTGGAACTGTTAAGACTGAATCTCCTGTGTTAGCCTCCCTAGTAGCTGAGACTTCGTGCATATACCATGGCAGCTTCCTATTATCTCCACTACTCTGCCAGGACAGTCACTCACTATGGAATCCAAGCTAGCCTAGAACTGGCAATCAGTCCTCTTGTCTCTGCCTCCCAAGGGCTGAGAGTACAGGTGTGAGCTACCAGACCCAGCTCCTTCAATTTTTGACTTCTCATGTTGGGTAACAATGATAACTGCTGCCATTTGCTGAGTGCTCACTGCAGGTGCACACGTGCATACACACACACCGGTTTCTCTCAAAAACTGTATGGAAAATGCACAGGTCAGGCACCCTTAAGAAAATCACCCTGCTCGTAAATAGCAAGCACAAGCTAATTTGGTCTTAAAGTCCACGGTCTCTGTTGTCTATCTTTGTTATGGCACTGACACTGTCCTTTTCCCACCACTGTGAAATTATATACTTCTTGTAAATATTGCATCACTTGGGGCTCTAGCCAGTCAGTGACATCTGTCAGTGACTATAGTGACCTAGAATGAAACTTCATACCTCTACTGTGATTCTTTCCCGCATCTTGCCAAACTCAAAATGGCCATGCAAGTTTGCAGAGGTATTTTCCAAAACGCAGCCCATTTTCCTGATGTTTCTTTATAATTGATTATCACTAGTGACACTCCTCTGTTTGCCCCGTGACCTTTGGCCTAAGTGCCACTTCTGTCTGTGGTTCTTCAGAGTGCCTAGGCCAGGCCACAGTGGCTCCTGGTATGTCAAGCCTTCCTACACAGGAGAAGGAGGAAATGAGGGTGTGTCAAAGCAGACAGTGGTACTGAGAGGGACAGAGGTCCTTAGTGGCTTTGAAAGGAAGAACAAGCACGTATTTTAAAGTGGTTATGCAGTCTGTTGTGTGTGCTGACATCCTCAGTAAGGTGACCCACAGTGTCACTGATCTGGCGGAATAGGCCCTTACATAAAAAATGCTCATGGCCTGATGTACAAGGATGTCCCATGCTATGTTCGCGAATGAGGCCAACTTACTCACTCTACATTAAGCAGATAATTTGCAAGTGAACTGGAAACTGTTAAGAAATAAAAGAATTTGTAAAACGGACTCCTTTGGAACAATGTATTTTGGGAGCTGGGGACCAGTTGGTAGAACACTAGCCTAAGACACGTGAAGCCCTGGGTTTGATCCTTGGCACCTAATAAACCCAGTATGGTGACATAAATCTATGATCCCACTGCTCAGAAGGTGGAGGGAGGATCAGAAGTTCAAGGTCACCTTCTCTCAGTTTTGAGGCCAGCCTGGGCTACATGAGATTCTGTCTCAAAAGAAAGAAACTATGCATTTTTTAACTTTGGCCAATAGTTAATTTTTGAGTAGAATAATAATTTTTAAATAACACATGTATCACCTGCTTACCATGCTCTGAGCGGAATGGTAATACTTTGCACATATCACCCCATTTACTTCTAAAGTTGCAGTATAAACTAGAACTTACTATTTTGTAGAAGATATGGTATCTCTGTGGCTCAGTCTGGTCTGGAACTATTAAGAGTGAGTATCCTGTGCACAGGAGGAAAATGAAACCTGGACAGCTAATAAACTATCTAAGTTCATATGCCTAATAGGAGCAAAGAAAAGATGGACAATTCCTGACCCAAATGTATGCCCATTATGTTGGCATGGATACACAAATATTCTAAACATTACCATCAACTCCCACTTCTAAGAACAACAGATAACACATGGTGGTAATAGTAAGTCATCTCTTGTAGTGATATGTGGTCATATGTATTAGAGGACCAGGTACAGCTACAGGTGTTAGAGTCTTACATCATTCCTGTCTGCTGTACCTGTCTCTAGAATCCAGCCCACGATCAACTGTGTGAATGCTGACTCACAGTAGTGGGCAATGATTGCAATCTCACTTTTCTTATCCAAACCTGGGATTTGCAGCCCCAACCCAGGCAAGCCCCCTGGAAACTGACAGCATTATATCACTATTATAATAGGAGACAGGGCAAAGGAAGGCGTGGGCACAGGCATGGAAAGAGCTGCCTTTCCATTCGGGACCATGTCTCCTAGGTTACTGAGTTGGGTTTTGTGGATGATGGGTGGATGTAGTCCTATCCACTGGACTGTGGGTTGCTTCATCAATCAGAGCTATCATTTCCCTTGACATTTTACCATAAGGAAAACTCAGATTTTCCAAAAGGAAGTGTTCTTAGACATCTGTCCAATTTTAAATCACAGACCAAATTAGATGGGCTAACTAAAGCAAAGGCCCTCTTATTACTGTGATTTGGAGCTCATATTGCAAGGCTCTGCCCTTGTCCATGGCCAAAGATAGACATGGGCATGGCTTTTATTCCAGTGGGTTCACTCCAGAGACGCTCACAACAGGGCCGGAAAAGTGATGCCATCACATGATCCACGGTGTTGGATGCAGGAGGCATCCATACAAGCCTACTGAATTGGATGCTTCAGACATACAACTACTTGCATGATATAAGCATAAATAAGATGTGTTTCTTCTTTATTAAATCTAAGCCATTTGATATTAGTGGTTGCTAACACAGTAAACGAGTGGAGAAGGGATTAAGTTTATTTTTTACACAAAGATGATGTAGAAGCTATCTGGAGTGCAGTTAAGCCGTCATCCCTGGAAAGACAGCCTTTGAGGGTAGGTTCCTGGCTGCTTTAATGTCACTCAAATTTTCCTGAATCTCAAAAGCATCTGGAAGCCTGGTTAAAACATGGTTATCTGAGAAACCCCACAGCCCTTCCAAGGGAGCTTGTAATTCTTTTCAGATTTGTTTTATTTTATGGGTATGAGTGTTTTGCCTGTATGTGTACCACACGCATGTCTGGTAACTGAGGAAGTCAGAAGAGGGCATCAGATTCCCTGGAACTGGAACTATAGATTGTTGGGATCCACCATGTGGGTGCTGGGAACTCAACCTGGGTCCTCTGTAAGAGCAACACTTACTTTAACTGTTGAACCATCTCATAGGCAGAGTTGGCAGGCAGAGAGAATATATAGAAGGAGACATCTGGGAGGAGATCTAGTAGCCAGAGAAGGAGGAGGACATCAGGGGCCAGCCACCCAGCTACACAGCAAGCCATGGAATAAGAGTGAAAGTAGGGTTATAGAAGTAAGAAAAGGTAAAAGTCCAGAAAGGAAAGACAGACGGACTAAGTTAAGAAGAGGTGGCAAGAAAAAAGCCAAGCGAAGGCCGGGCATTTATAAATAAGAAAAAGTCTCTGTGTGTGATTTATTTGGGCACTGATGGGCTCCCCAAAAGAGTAAAAACAACAACAGACAAATAAGAGAGAGAGTTTCGAAAACTGCTCCAAGAAATGCCTCAAGCAGTAGCCTGTGAACTGCAGCCCTGCTAAGTGCATATATTTACATGCTTACATGCCTGTGCCCCTAGAGAAGAGGAAACTGCAAATGTTAGAGGGGCATCATAGTATCACATGTTGGCAACTTTAAATATATTTAATACCAGGAAAGCTTAGATGATGAGAGCCATGATGGAAAGAGACCATGGTATATCGTGATCACATTCTCCAAGTGGTAAATCAAGAACCATGGTCCACGCGCCACAAATTCTTAAACTAATTTTCATATACAATTCCACTATGAAAACACTTTTATACAAATGGCAGTTCCATGTGTGTAGGACATATTTCAGCATAAAGTGGTCTTCACTGTGTATTTTCCGTTCATGGCAAAGGAGCCTGTAAAAAGCGAAGGGAACCCACTGCAGCTGTGGTTACCTATACAAGAGCTACCAAAGACCAGGCAACAAGATCATCCGCCATCCCAGCGGGTCACACTGCTTGGACTTAGAGTTCTAAAACTAAAAAACGACAACATGAAGGTGTGATGGGGAGGTGTTGGGGCAGTGCGGGGGAGGGCTCTTCAGGGGTAGGTAAGGTTAAGACATATAGTATATTTGTGTGAAATTGTCGATGAATAAATAAAAGATATTCTAAAGAACAACAACAACAAAAAAAAAAAAAATCAAAGGAGGGGCCAGGCCTGGTGACAAAGGTCTAAAGCCCCACTTACTCAGGAGGCTGAGGCAGAAAGATCAATGATCACGACCAGTCTAGGTGACAGAGAAAGTTCAAGCAAGGTCAACTTGTGCAACCGAGACTGTCTCAAAATAAAAAAAGTAGAAGCAGCAAATGCTGTAGATGCTTGCCCAGCGGGCATGAAGCCCTAGGTTCAACTCCAGCCCCATTCCCCCATTCCATCCCCCCTTCCTTGTGTGTGTGTTTGTGTGTGTTGTGTGTCTGTATGTGTATGTGTAATGTGTCTGTGTGTTTGTGTGTTGTGTTTATGTGTATGTATGTGGTGTGTGTGTTGTTGTATGTGTGCTTGTGTGCATACCTATGCATATATAAACTCAGAGCAGGTGACCAGCAGATGAACGCATCTGTTTCGAACTCCATGTTGCTTCGTGCTTCGAAGCAGCATCTGTCTGATATCCTCCTCCATATCAGCTCCCTCTGCAAACCCTGGATCAGGGAAGTTCTGCACTCCAGTGAATGTTTTCAAATTCTGATAGTCATTTACATTTTAGACATGAAGAATTTTTGATCCTGCTTTTAAAGAGCTAAGTCCCAGGAGGAACTGCAAGATGCTGCTTCTGTCTCTATTTATAATCAATGGAGAAAGGAGCATCTGGGAGGGGCTGTGGGTCTGAGATCGCCCAACAGGAGCCCTCCCTGTCCCATCCTGCATTGTCTGGGCAAGTAGGTGGGGAGGGGAAGAGGGACCCATACAGCTGACAGGGAGAGAGCTGGGTGAGAAACAACTTGTTGATTTTTGGATGTTTGTTTTGGGTCAGTTTGGTGGAGTGTTGATCTACTCTCCAGAAGGTCTAAGGTGGGTGAAAATAGGATCTATTCACGGTGGAGGTACACTGAGGACCTATTCCATAAACGAAGAGGTATGTGTCATTTAAAAGCAAAGAGGTCATAAAACCACTCATTCTTTTTTTCTGTTTTTAAAGGGCAAAATAGAAGTACAAGATGGAAAATACGTTATTTTGGTTGATAATCTTCATCTCTGGATGGACCCTCTCTGATGGGTCTGAAACAGAGCCGGATTTTACGTGGCACTTGAGCAGAATACCCCGGGTTGTAAGTGAGAGGACTGTCCATCTTGCCAGCCCCACATTCCAGGCAGATGCTGGGATGGTGATGACCGCAGTGTGCGGCATCGAATGTCAGGAAGAGCTCCCGGCTCCCAGCCTTTCCCAGCTCGAAGACTCCCTTTCCTATGAGACGGTCTTTGAGAATGGCACCCGAACCTTAACCAGGGTGAAAGTTCAAGATCTGATCCCAGAGCCCACTCGAAACAGCAGCCTAAAAGGAGCACGCCCGAGGAGGCTGCGGCGGCAGGTGTATGGTACCGACAGCAGGTTCAGCATCTTGGACAAAAGGTTCTTGACCAATTTCCCTTTTAATACAGCGGTCAAGCTGTCTACTGGCTGCAGCGGCGCCCTCATCTCCCCCAACCACGTGCTCACAGCTGCCCATTGTGTCCATGATGGGAAGGACTATATCAAAGGCAGTAAAAAGCTGAGGGTGGGGGTGCTGAAGATGAGAAACAAAGGAGGCGGCAAGAAACGCAGAGGTTCCAAGAGGAGCCGGAGAGAAGCAGAGGGCGGTGGCCAAAGTCACAGCGGCCAGGAGCATCCTCAGGAGAGCGCCACCCAGAGACGGGGAAAAGGGTCCAGGCGGGGTCCGAGGGTCACTCAAGGGAGGCCATCCTTCCAGTGGACCCGCGTCAAGAGCACCCACATTCCCAAAGGCTGGGCGAGGGGAGAGAGCGGGGACCCGGCCTTGGACTACGACTATGCACTCCTGGAGCTGAAACGAGCACACAAGCAGCAGCACATGGAGCTGGGAGTCAGCCCCGCCATCACCAAGCTGCCGGGCGGCTGGATCCACTTCTCTGGGTTTGACAAGGACAGGGATGATCAGTTGGTGTATAGGTTTTGCAGCGTTTCTGAGGAATCCAACAACCTCCTGTACCAGTACTGCGATGCTGAGGCAGGCTCCACCGGCTCTGGGATCTATCTGAGGCTGAAAGAGCCAGGCAAAAAAACCTGGAAGCGGAAGATCATCGCGGTCTACTCAGGCCACCAGTGGGTGGATGTGCACGGGGTTCAGAAGGACTATAACGTGGCTGTGCGCATCACTCCACTCAAGTACGCCCAGATTTGCCTCTGGATCCATGGAAATGCAGCCAACTGCGCTTATGGCTGAGGGAAAGCTGAAGCAAGTTCAGGCACATCCTGAATCCCAGAGAAAGTCAGTTCTCATTCTGAGACCACTCACAGGCTATACTTGGACTTGAACCTAGCAGGGGTATGCCAGCATTTTCACAGACGCCCTTTATCAAAATTAGCTTACTTTCTCACGGTTAGAATGTTTAGGTACAGATAATGAAACTAGATGACCCTTCAGCATCAAATATATACTCTATGTGATGCTAAGGTTCGTTTGCGGGAAACCGTTTGTTTACTTGGGCCTTCTTTAAAACTAGACACTCTTTAAAATGTCAGACTAGAACTGTAACGTGACTTCTCAATGGGCTTGCTCTTAGAGTCCTACTGTAAGAAGAATCAACTTGAACGGAAAATACAAAGATTCACAGCAACACAATTAGAAACAGGAGACACAGAGGTTTCGTTTGCAGTGCTGTGCGATGGAGCCTTTCCCTTCTGCTCCTGCCCTCAGCGTGGATATGTGTTTTCTCTTGGTACTTAGAAACTTAAAGAACTACAGGTCAAACCACATACAAATCACAAATCAGAAGAAGTAGTGAGCCTTATAAATAAAACTACCAACTGTGGTTTAAACAAAAAACCCAGTATCAAAGTGTCTTTCTAAAAATTGGTGAAACACTTTGTTTTGTGCAATAAACCAACTTTAGAGATATTGAAAGCGGAGACACTTTAAGATGTCAAGTTTTTATTTAACTGATTTTCAAAGTAGGAAGTTTCCAAGGCGTGCGGAGAAGCCATTTCCCAAGCCAGGGTCCCCTTTTGAGTGTCACACCCGGTTGGGTTGTACTGTCCACTGTGTGTGAGGTGCTATATTTTTAATGCAAGGAATTTTTTTTTTTCAAAAGAGAACCCACTTGCCCCAAACCACGAGATAGCAAAGAAGGTTCTGATGGTTCTCATTAGGGACCAAGGTGGCATCATCACTCATCATCACTCTGCCTCCCAAGTAGCATTAAGCAGTTAGCGGCCACGGAGAGCAAAATGCAGAGCGGTCGCTCAGGACACACCTCATGAACAACCAAGTATGTGGTGAATGGCTATAAGCAGGGGTTAGGTCGGCATTATGCCTGGACAGTTTTGATGTCACTCAAACACACTCTAAAATCTAGTAACCAGGGGCCCGATCTTTGGTCTGTTCTTTCTGGCAATTTCTAAGGCCACATATTTTTCTCTCATGACACAACTGACTGCCAGGGTAAAATCTTTTTCTTTTAGAGGTGTCCTAATAAAGACTACAAAATAAGAAATAACGTTATTTCCTATTTTTGTTTTCTGTTATATTCTTGATTAGTAAGCAAAGGAATATCTTCGTTTGGGTTAGCATAGTGTTTTTGTAAATGGTGCTCAAAATATCTGCCATTCTTTTATAATGTGAGTTGTTGTTAAAATAGTTCAATAAAATGAAAAAAATAAAATGTATGACTGTGTTTATATATAGACATGCTTTAAAGGGTTTTAGAAAATATTTGATTAACTATTATTGAATTAGAAAGTAGTATCTTTAGTGCTCATCTCACTGAGACGGAGGCCCTCCTTGCTTTCAGTAGAAGAGGAACACACACTGAAAAACAGATCCATTTGCTCTGGGGTGGGGTAATAGGGAGAGTCTCTGTATTGGTTACTTTTCCTGTTACTGTGATTAAAAAAAAAAAAAAAAAAAAACCCAACCTAACAAAAGCAACTTCAGAATGGCTTAGTTTTTTTTCTTATATTTGTGGCTTTTCTAAGGGTGTCAGCAAAATTAATACATGATTCTGGAAATTATGATTATAGTTGCACGGAACCAATTAACTATGCTGTTTCATCTCATGTTTCATAGAGATGGACTGAAATGTTCTCAGCAGACTGGCAGAGCTGAAGAGCTAGCATAGATGTAGAGGAATTTGCATGTGTGCCCATTCATGAGCTGGGGAGGCCAGTGTGTCACAGTCTCTGTCCCAAGGTGGGTCTCCTCCCCTCCTCCACTCCTATGATATTCCTAAGCGGCCAGCTTTCAAGGTCAGGATATGCTTCAAGCCAAGATTCTACTACAAAACAGAAGTCGGACTTTATCCAGCAATGGGCTGAAAATAAAAGTCGGCATTTTTAAGACAGAGCTGAATTTAGTACTCTGCCACTGCACTTGGGGACAGTGGACACCAGAAGAAGGCTCTGTGGCTTGGAGAAGTAAGTGGCACACACCATCGTCCCCACCAAATAACCAGTTGTGTCACTCCATGTAGTCCAGGGTGTGACTGATGTGGCTCCTTAAATGGATGTCTTGAGCAGTCACCAGCCACAGATCACAGCATCCCTATACTAAATTAAAGCTTGTTTTTTGGTAGAGGCACGTAGGCCATCATGTGATAGGAAATCACCTTCCCAGGACTAGTAACTAAATTTCTCCATTCTGGATGGAGACAAGGACTCTGTGACTTTCCTATCCTAAAGTATTTAGAACATTTTTTTTTTTTTCTAGAATCATCTATCAAATTCAGCTAGAGTCTCAGGCTGTGAGCCTCAGATAGTACATTGGTTTCCCTCAATGTAGAGGTTTCCAAATTTTGCTAATAGCAAGAATGACCTAGTGAATTACCTTAGAAACCCAGGTGCCAGCCGGGCGGTGGTGGCGCACGCCTTTAATCCCAGCACTCGGGAGGCAGAGCCAGGCGGATCTCTGTGAGTTCGAGGCCAGCCTGGGCTACCAAGTGAGTTCCAGGAAAGGCGCAAAGCTACACAGAGAAACCCTGTCTCGAAAAACCAAAAAAAAAAAAAAAAAAAGAAACCCAGGTGCCAGGGTGCCATGAAGACCTAGCCTGAATCCCTAAGAGACTCCAGCATTGCAGATCTGACTAAGCTCTGGAGAGATGGCTCAGCGGTTAAGAGCACCTGCCTTATGCTTTTCTTATAATTTATTTCAAAAAACTTTGGTGAGGAGAATGGTAGTGTAAAGGATCAAACACATAGATGGCACTCTTGTTAAGTCTTTACAAAATGAAAAAAAACATTTTAGGAACAAATTGTTATAACATCATTTTCCTATAAGAAACAAATCAAATTTGCAAAATTCCTAAATGTATATGATCAGTTTACAATAAAAGAAAAAAATCAGTTTTATTTATTTCCCAGAAATTAGATGCTAGACTTTCTTTTCTTCTTTATAATTCATCTTATTATTTAGGTAAAATCAATACAACTCCAGGAACTCACCATGCAGAAGCATAAGATTTAACTCATTTTATTGAGTTAAATCTTAGGCTCTTCAGATGTGGAGGAAATTTTAGATTCTACCTTCCCTCAAAGTATGCACAATCTGGTGAGAATTGCACCACACACCAGAAGGCAGGAAGTGTGATACTGAAGAAGCACACTGAGAAGTGGGTTCTGCTAGAGTGGCCAAGCAGGCTGAAAGGAACCAGTTCTCGGAAGAAGTGACACCCAGACTGGCCAGCTTAGGAATGGGGAGCTGGAGGTGTGGGGACAGCCTGGAGCAAACCGGGTCAGAAGCAGTGAGAGGGTCACACAGTGTCCAACACAGGGCTGCAGACTGCAGTTAGCGCTTCGGCTGGTGAGCAACACCAAGAAGTAAGGCTTCCTGGTGAGGCTGGAACATGGAAGGCTTTGAACGGAATCCTTACAGCGCTTAGATCTTGCCGCCAAGAACTGATGCGGGTCAAGTCGGAGGAATGGGATCAGAGGGAACAGAGAGAAGGAAGCCCTCCTGCGGCACCTTCTGGGCTGCAGTGGGTGAGTCTGGGTAGAGTTTAGTCAAAGACCCAAAACTGCTGAAGGACATGGTGGTGCGAATAGGAAATGGGAGGCACTCAGGCCAGGGAAGGCTACACAGTGAGACTGTCTCCCAGGAGGGAGGGAGGAGAGAGGGAGGGGCGGAGGGAGGGAGGGAGGGAGGGAGGGAGAGAGGGAGGGAGGAAAATGTTTAGGACACTTGTTGGTTATAAAATGAAGGAGTTTAGAATTGGGGATGCTGGGCTTGGGAGACAATGAAAAAAGAAAAACTAGCTTGGAAAAAGAGGAGCTCCCTCACAGACACGTATGCCAAATAAATAAATAAATAAATAACTTGTCTTGTATTTACTGTAAAGGCAAAAAATGCTCAACCCCAAAGAAAGCCATGGCAAGAAAGTGAAATGAAAAAGACTATGAATTTCTGCAGTGAGTGACTCAAGGACACAGCACCCAGTCACTGCTGCATTTTGTTCTGACAAACAGTGACGATCACCTTTGTTTTTCTGCTAGGAAACAAAATGCTCCCTTTAACTTAGCTTGGAAAACGTTTTTTTTTTTTTTTTTTTTTTCCATTAAGAGAAAGTCAGGAATTGCAAAAAATTATTTAATTTCAAATTTACAGCTGAACTACTATATATGGTCACAACTCAATATCCCTAATACTATCAAAATTTCATGCTTCAAAGGTACAGACGACTTAAGAATTAACTTCAGTTTTCCTTGGGGAATGTTTATATTAGTGTTTCAGACTATATAATTTAACTTCATTATAAAAAACATGATCAAACAAGCAAAAATCCCAAAACCTCCCACCCCCGACCCCCATTAAAATGAGTTAATTTACCTCAAAAACTGTTTCTTGCACTAACAGAAATGTACCACTTGGCATATCAGGGAGTGGTGGACAAGCCTTTAGTCCCAGCATTGAGAGGCAGAGGCAGGAGGATCTCCGAGTTTAAGGCCAGCTTGTCCACACAGTGAATACCAGGCCAGAGAAGATTAAATAGTAAGACAGTCCCAGGAAGGAAAGGAAGGAGGGAGGGAGAGAGACAGGGAGAAAGGGAGGAAGGGAGGGAGGGAGGGAGGAAGGAAGGAAGGAAGGAAGGAAGGAAGGAGCCACAGGACTGTTGCATCTGGAATCTAGTATTAACAGTTGGTTTAGCAGCAAAGCATATGATCATTGACAGAAAATTCTCTCCCTCAAGAGGTCACTTCCTGGCCCTGTGCAGGGCTCTACTCTGCAAGCCTGGGTGCACCTCCTAAGAAGGGGTCTCTAGGATATGAGTTTAAATTTGGCAATGGATCCGGCACGTGCCTGGCTGGACAATGTTTTCCAGCTGGCTTACATAGACATGCTAGTGTCACATGTAGTTTACATGTGGGACAGGTACTTACACTTACTGAATTTCAAAACACATACTTCTGTGGCTGTGCTTTATTATGGAATCTTACTACCTCCACCATTTAAACGCTTTTTAAAAATTTCATCTTTTACCAATCTTTCAATAGAAAAAAATCAAATCTATAGCAAAAAAAAATCACAGCAATTAAAAAATTTAAAACTTAATGTGTATAGGTGTTTCGTCTGCCTATGTGTTTGTGTCTGGCAGTGTGCCCGATGCCTACAGAGAAGAGGGCCTTGGAATCCCTGGGACTGGAGTTGCAAACAGTTGTGAGCTGCCACGTGGGTGCCAGGAATCAAACCCTAGTCCTCCGTTTTTAACTGCAGAGCCATCTTTTCAGCCCGCCCCACACAGTGATTTCCAAAAGTAACCACAGCAGTATTTACTGAGTGTTACACTGTGCCAAATGCTTTCCATTCATCAGCTAATATAAAATGTATACATATAGAAGGAGCCTCATTCCACAGAAGAGAAAATGAAAACTTAAAGACGTGAAGCAATTAGCCTGAGGCAACAGTGTGTGGTTGAGCTGGGAATTCCCTACCATGTAGTCATTCACATTCCTGCACAGGCCTCAGCATCATTCAAAAAAAAGTAATGTGGGGGCTGTGAGGCAGGCATTTGGAAAGTCACAACTAATGGTGGAAATGAGATTCCCCTCTCCCTCGCAAACATGCTCATCTACTGACTGGTAGATTTAGCAAATCTTTTAGATTTAAAGCAATGGTTCTTTAACCATGGTAGGTGGCTTCCTAAGGATCCCCACGACTCTTTCAGGGGCCTGTCAGATCAAAACTACTTCTATAATACTACTGTGTGTCTTTTCTCTTATATCACGCTACGCGCGTCTTCTCCCCATGTCACACAGTGGACTTTCCCAGCCAAGCACAGGCTACTGTAACAGATGGAATGCAGCAGTGGAAACGGGAACATGCTACCTTTTGCTAAGTCTAATTTAATGAGGTATGTGACAAAGACCTACAGGCAACCGCGGAGTGCCGGGAGTCCGAAAAACAGTCTTCCCCACGGAAGAGCACACCAACTGGTTATCCAACACCAAACTGCCAGCCCTGAACACCTACATACAAGTAACATTATATAGCCTGAGCAGGCTCTATTTAGGAATGTGCATGCGTGTAAATACACATATATACAAGTAATAACAATCAATGAAAATGGAGCCCATGGATTTGAAAGAGAGGACCGGCATACGGGAAGGTTGGGAGGGAGGAAAGGAAAGGGGAAATGATGTAATTATAATCTCAAAAAAGAAATTCAAAAAAGAAAAAA